ACTTATGTAGTATTATAGCATCTCAAAAAAAAAAAATTCAAGATGCTGAACTGCGTTGGGTGCTTCTTGCAACCTTTAGGAAGTCCCTGCAAAGTTAAGAGAAATGCTTAGGTTGCAGATGGTGGCCCATCCTTATCATCAAAAGGAAAAGTCACTCCCTCTTGTTGCCCCACACTTCTCATTACTTTGAAATTTTATTACTGGATTATGAACAGCGAGATAGCACTGCTACAGATCTTCTGCCCCTTCCTCATGCTGAGTGACTGGCTCATAAAACAAGGACAGGGGCTTAGAGGACCATCGAAAGAAAAGCCCCATGAGTCAGAGTCTGCTAGCAGACTTGCAAGAGGCATAGAAAATGGGAAAGGGAGTGGGGCATGAAGAAAACAAAGGAGAAAAAAAAAGAGAAGAAAACAAAGGAGAAAGAAATCAGAGAGACCAGCGAGCTGCTGGAGGTCGACACCTGAGCTGAGCGGTAGAGGTGCCAGGGGCCGCTTGAAAAGGACCTGGGAGAAGGGGATGCAATGCCCTTTGAGAAGCATTCGAATTCTTGAGTTGCAGACCTGGAAGGGCCTTTGGGGACCAGGTGGCCATCTCTTTCAACAGAAAAAGGAACTGGTCTGCAAGGAGGAAATGGGAAAGAAAAGGAGAAACAAAATGACCAGGTCTCCAAGGTTTAGAAACCACAGAAAGCAGTCCACAGCTCTCTGCTGAACTTAGAGAGCTAGGCCCTTTATTTCCTTTTTCTACTTTTGGTGCCGGGCCCAGTCTGGTCCAGCTGCTTTCTGGAAACAGGCGGTCCCTCCTGTTTGGAAGATATAATCGAGGTCTCCTGGTCTGACATCTCCCCCCGCCCCACACACACCCCTCCCCTCATTCCATCTGGGCCCCCATCACAGGCTCCCGGGCTCACCCAGGCTGACCAACAGAAGCGCATACAACGCAGTGCACAGCCTCCGGCAGAGTGAGAGGGTGGAGTCACTTCCTGAGGGGTAGCTTGGGTGGGCATCGGGGGTGGGGGAATGGTCAGGAGTGGAGACGGGTTGACGCAGCTTCTCCAAGCCACGCAGGGATCCAAAGAAAACACAGCTGGAGACAGGGAGAGGGAGCAGGGAATCAGGCTACACATGTTGACATCTTGGGAGAAATCCAGCTTGGTATCCTGTGGGCACTGGGGCCTGTTTACTTAGGCCAGTTATTTCCTCGCACTGTATCTCAGTTTCCCGCTCTGCAGACCAAGGGCCATACTAGCTATCTCAGAGGGCTGCTGTGAGGATTAAATGGGGTCATTGAAGAAGAAAGACAAGAGAATGGAATGGTTAAGAACAAGGGCTCTGCAGGCAGACTGACTTGACTTAAACCTTATGGCTTAACATTAGTCATATACAAATGAGCAGCTAGTCATGACCTTGAACCTGTGCATCCAATATATGTAACAATATTTAAGAAAAGAATTCGTATCTCTCAGATCAGCCGCGACCTTCACAGCGTTAATTCACCTCTCTGGGCCTCAGTTTCCTGGTCTGCAAAATTGGATGATGATACCTGTCTTATAGGATGTTATGAAGCTTAACTGAATTAATATTTGGAAAGTTTTTAAGAGATTGTATTTATTATTTATTCTCAGAGAGAATAGAAGGGGGGAGAAAGAGAGGAAGAGAAACATCTATGTGTGAGAGAAACACTGATCTTACACACGCCCCAACCGGGGACTGGCCCACGACCCAGGCATGTGCCTTTACCCGGCATCCAATCAATGACCTTTCGCTTTGCAGGATGATGCCCAGCCAACTCAGCCAGAGCCGTCAGGGCAGTAAACTTTTTGTTATTAAAAAAAAACTAGTTAACTAATAACCAGAGATATTTATTGAGCCCTTTCATGTACTAAGTACTAGGTTCAGCGCTTTACATACTTTATCACATTAAGAGACCCCTGCTACCCAGAGAGGTAAGCAGGTACTAGATCATCCCCATTGACAGATGTGGAACCTGAAGCTCATAAAGAGATTTATTTTTTAATTTACTCTAGAACTACAGCCCATGGTCTGCATCCAGCGAATAGCATGTTCACTAAAATATTGTTTATAGCTGCTTCCATGCTACAGTGGTGGAGTTGAACAGCTGGGACAGGCTGTAGGGCCTGTAAAACCTAAAGTATGTGCTATCTGACCCTTTACAGGAAGAGCTTGCTGACCTCTGTTCTAGAAAGTGGCAGGAGCGGGACTTGAACCAGGTCTGTCTGATTCCAAAGCACCTGTTTTGCTATCCTGTTTTTTTGTTGTTGGTGGCTTTTTTCATTTGTTTTGCTTTGTGTTTTGTTTTTTGCAATATTTCTGTGCTGGCTGCACAACAGAGGCTGGAAAAGCCTTTCTATCCTGCCCCTTTGTGTGCCGAAAAGTCTCCCTTCCCTCTTCAAAGCCAGGAGTAAAAGTGGAAAGAGATTTGGGGATTCTGCTGTCTCCATCCCTCAAGCCAAGTTTTGGAAGAAAGAAGAAACCCATGCGAAGGAGAGAGGCAGGCTGAGTAGGCAAGTCCCTCGAATCAAGGCCAGTGACTGTACCTTATTGTTTCCTAGCCCAGGCCAGGCCTGTGTATAGAAGCAGCTGGACTGAGACTAGCGAGGGGCAGGAGTTGAAAAAGAATCCCAGGCTGGTGCAGGTATCATCCATTCCCAGGGACATTTGAGGGCTCCAAACCAGTTCAGTCACAGCACAGATATTTATTCAGTACCCGCTCTGTGCCAGACACTGCTCTAAACACTGGGAATAAGTGGTGAATCAGATCCCAGCCCTCCATGTCCCCATTAACCAGTAACTTAATAAACCAATATTAAATCCAAATAAGATCTATAAAGAAAATAAACCAAGCTGGTGTGATTGAGAGCAACTGCTGGGTAGGCAGGGAAGGCCTCTCTGAAAAAAATGCCATTTAAGCTGAGACCAAAAGAGCAAGGAACCAGCTGTGGAATGATCACATGGAAAAGCATTCCAGCCAGTGGGAACAGCAGGTGCAAAGGCTCTGAGCAAGAAGACTTTAATTTGCATGTGCAAGGAACCAGAAGACCAGTGTGGCTGGAGCAGAATGGAAAAGGGTGATGGTGGTGCAAGATGAGACAGTGTAGGCCCTTTTGCATGCTGGGAAATCAGGGCAGGGGAGCAGGAGTCTGTTCACGTGTGATGGAAAGCCTCTGAATGGAGGATGGCTAATGATGCTGAGGATTGTAGCTATCATTTTTTGAGCCCTTACTAAAGGCTCGTTGCTTATTGAACCCTTACTAAAGGCTCGTTGCTTATTAAGCCCTTTAAATGTATTATCTCATTTAATCCTCACAAGCAATCCAGATGAGGAAACAGAGGTCCAGAGAGGTGAAACCGCTTGCCCAGGGTTACGTAGCTACCTTTAAAGCTCACCGGGGTTGCTGTGGGGACAGCAGATTGCAAGGCATAAGACTCTATAGGCGATAACAATGACACAAAGATGGAGCTTGCACTGCAGTTAATGACAGGAAAGAAAACTAACATTCACCAGATTTCCTGCTTGTGCCAGGCTCCAGGAAGAGTGAGGGTTACTGGAGTTCAAACCTACATTTTCCCACTTCCTCCTCTGGATATTGTTAGTACATTTTCTTACACCCGTTTCGCCTTGTTTGCTTGTGGTTTGTGCCCCTAATCATAACTGGTAGCACTTATTTGATGCTAACAGTGCACCACATACCATACCCAGCACTGCACAATGCCCACTTAGTTTATTCTTGCAATAAGCTTATTGTTTCCCTTTTAGATTGAGGCTATCGAGGCTCAGAGCTGCTTAAATAAGGGATCCAAGAGGTGGTACTAAGAATTGACGACCTAGGATTTGAACCCTGGTCTATCAGACACAAGTGTCTAAGCACTTAGCTACAGGGCTATAACCACCCACCTCCCCCTTTTCCATGAACAGTCATTCCATGGGTTCCCCAACAGCGGCCACAGGATAGCCTTTATCTCTACTTGCCTGCTGAGGAGGGTTCACAACAGTGCAGACTTCACAGGTTCAGAAGGCTAAATTAGTTTATCTCGATCTAGGGTGGCCAACCATCCTGGTTTGCCTGGGACTGAGGGGTTCCCAGGAAGGGAGACATTCAGTTATCAAAGCCAGGGCAAATCAGGACAAGCTGGTCATGAGTGCTTGTTGCTAAATCCGTATTCAATGGGCATTAGTCATTAGTGCTTCTCCTTTCCCCTTCCAACAGTTTGACAATAAGAAATAGCAAGCACCTGCCCTGTCCTAGGAGCTGGGAACTCTGCAGGCAGTACATCTGGGCCGGGGTTGGAGAGGGAGGGGTACTATGCAGAGAACCTAGTTCCAAAGGTTCACACACAAAAAATCCCCAGTTCCTGGGGAAACGCCAGACATCCCTCTGAGGTGATTGCAGCAGCCTGTGTGGACTGACTTGGACCCCCGGGGAGAGGTTCCAGGACCGTTTTCCCTGGGTAGTGACACAGAGACAGCTGGGGATTTCATAGCGAAATCTGGCAAGGAGAGAGGTCTTGAGATGATTGTGGGTGGAAGGGAAGGAACGATTGTGCCTTTGGCATTGACTTTGTGGCTTGCCTTGGGCTGCAATAAAGACCTAGGAGGTAGTTCCTTTTAACACACACATTTTGCTAGATGAGGAAACTGGAACTCAATGACCCCAGTGAAATGACTTGCCCAGGATCATGCAGGAAGAAATGGGTGATTGGAATCCGAGCCGAGGTCCCAGAGAAGCAGGGATTGTTGGGGCCGAACGGGCCGACTCCTGGACTTCCCTCCCTCCAGCCCGGCTTGGGTCTGCCACTTGTCTTAACAGCGTCCGGGCCTGTCACGGGGCTCTGTACAGCCCTCTCCACCACCCGGGCTGCCAGGGTCCCGCCCCATCCCCTCCCAGCTCCCGAGGGAGGAGGGGAGAGCAAGGAGGGGGGGCGGTCAAAGAGGCCCGGCTTTATAAAGGCGGCTGGAGAGCGCGGCCCGCCAGACCCCGCCGCCTGGATCTCTAGTGCTGCCTGCCGCCCACGTGACCGAGCCGACCCTCAACCCCCACCTCCCAGCTCCACCGCAGTGAGTTGGGGTGTGTTCCCACCCCCACCCCCAGCCCTTCGCTGAGCCGCGTGGTCTACTAAACCCAGGGTGGGGAGGTGACTCCATGAAGGAGGGCGCCGAGATGGGGGGTCACCAGTCAAAATCCCGATGGCAGGGATTTAGGACCCAGAGGAGCCGAGAGACCCCTCTCCTCCCCGGCTCGGAGCCTGGGAAACTGCAAGCCAGCCCCCAGGAATGCGCGTGCAGCCGTTCCCATGGTAACGGGCAAGCCGGGCCCACTCTCCGCTAAAGGAAAGAAGAGGTTGCTGGGGAGGTCCAAATTCGTCACGGAGCGGTTGCACGAGGGAACCGAGCGTGTCCTCTCCCCCTCCCCGTGCCCCAAATCCTCTGGGAGCCAGAGCGCAAGTCGAATCGTCTCAGCCTCAGTTTCTGCATCTGTCAAATGGAGCCAATATTATTGGTCCAAATTCCCCGAAGAGCTATCTCGAGGGTAACGGTCCGCGCCAGCCCCGCTCCTGCTTGGACAGCCGAGGAGTGGGTTTTAGCGGCCGGGTGACTCCTGTGACCCCACCCTACCCTTAGGCCCGCTCGCCATGGCCCTCTTTTGGACCCTCTTCTTAGCCCTGGTGGCAGGAGCTCACGCCGAGATCCCCGGCTGCAAGATACGCATCACCTCCCAGGCGCTGGAGCTGGGTAAGGGGTGGGGGCGGGCGGGGGCGGTTGAGGGTGGAGTCACCCCAGCAGTGGGCGCAGGAGCTAACGGTCTTGCTCCTGCCTCAGTGAAGCAGGAGGGGCTACGCTTTCTGGAGCAAGAGCTAGAGACTATCACCATCCCGGACCTGGGAGGCAGAGAGGGCCCCTTCTACTACAACATCTCTGAGTAAGTAGGGGCCTCGGGGCGGGGTTCGAAGGTGGGGGCGTGGTCAAATCGATGGAGCGGAATTTAAGGATGGGGCCTGGAAGATAAAGGCCAAACCTGCCAACGACAGCGGGATCAAGCAGGTGGGCGTGGCCTAAGAAATGTAGGCGGGACCAAGAACAGCTAAGTGGAATGGAGGGGTGGCCAAACAGCACCAAAGAAGCGGAGGCAAGAAACTTGCCAATGGGCAAGAGTTAGATGATCAGAGTCCAGGGCACCCGGGTGTAGAGGTTCTGGGAACAGATGAAGTCCCGTGGTTTAGGACGGTGGGGACAGGGGAATCGGATTAAAGATGATGGAGACAACGGGCTCGGTTGAAAGACCAGACCTAGCAACCCCAGAATGTGGAAGGGAAGGGAGGGCAAGCAACAAGACTTCTAAGAGGAGCGGTGAAGCTCACTTTTAACACCTGAGTCAGGAGAATCTTCTTTCGGAGCCACCGTAGCCCAGGATGGGCACTTGAGCAGCAACGGAATAATTCATTCCAACTACCCCAGTTTCCCCAGGTCTGGACTGGAAGAGGAGGCACTGCATTCCGGGTTGGGTGGGATCCCCTCTTGTCCTTGAATCTGACCCTGAGGCCTCCTGCAGGGTGAAGGTCACAGAGCTGCAGCTGACGTCCTCCAAGCTCCATTTCCAGCCAGAGCAGGAGCTGGTGCTACAAATCAGCAATGCCTCTTTGGGGCTGGGTTTTCGGAGACAGCTTCTCTACTGGCTCTTGTGAGGACCTGGCAACCTCAGGGGAGTGGCAAGTGGGTCAGGAGGGCTGAGGGTGATGTGGGCTGTGGACAATCCCTTAGTCTTTCTGAGTCTCAAGTTTCTTCACCTGTACAATGAGGGCGGTCATCCCCACTTCATAGGGGCTGATAGGGTTTCGTAGAATATCTGGTAAACTGTGCAAAAGTAAAGCCGTCTTAAGAGGTATCGTGATGTATGGGGATCGGGAGCAGGCAGTGAATTCTCGGTTAAGCTCTAAGTTTGGGTGAACGCTAACCCTGCACCCCACTCCCGGCAGCTATGATGGGGGCTATATCAATGCCTCTGCGGAGGGTATATCCATCCGCACGGCTCTGCAGCTCTCCGGGGATTCCTCTGGCCGGATCAAAGTGTCCAACGTCTCCTGCGAGGCCTCTGTCTCCAGAATGCACGCAGCCTTCGGGGGAACCTTCGGGTAAGCCCCATCCTCAGTCCCAGTGCAGCCGCTGGGAGCCCCACAGCCTACCTGCCTAATGCAATGCAAAGTGCACGGGCTTGGGAGTCAGAACAGCTAGGTCCAAATGTTAGCGCCATCATTTCCTGGCTGTGTGGCCTCGGGCAAGTCGCTAAAGCTCTGAGCCTCAATTTCCTCATTGGTAGTATAAGGGTGATAATAGAAACTATTTTATAAGATGTTAAGAGGCCTATTTGTGTTCATATATGTAAAACTCTTTAGAACAGCACCTGGCATATAATAAGTGGCTAGTCATTTAGATAAGAGTAACTGTGAGGATAAGAGCGCACAGTTGGGCATGAAATAGGTCCTCAAAAATTGGTGGCTCTTACTAGTTACAACAAAAATGATAACATAGGCCCAGGTTTGGGGCCGAGACGGGGACTTTGTGCAGGTTCCAGAAGAGGGCCAGGGAGAGGAGAGGGTAGATTTGTCATCTGATGTTGGTACATGGTCACTTACTCAACAAAGTGTATGCTGCCCTGACGAGTGTGGCTCAGTTGGTTGGAGAATCATCCCGTACACGGAAAGGTTGAGAGTTTGACTCCCAATCAGGGCACATACCTAAGTTGTGGGTTCGATCCTCCATCAGGTCGCTTGAGGGAGGTAATTGCTATTTCTCTCTCACATCAATGTTTCTCCCTGACCCCCGCCCCAACCTCTTCCTCTCTCTCTCAAATCAATTAAAAAATGTCCTCAGATGAGGATTAAAAAAAAAAAGAATATGCCAGTCCCTGAGGATTCAGAAAGAAACTCAGAGCCTAGTTAGAGGGAAAACATGTTTGTCCTTGGGGCTTGAGAGAGGGACTAAGAAAGTACTGTGGAGACTAATAAAGTAGTCTGGGCAGACTGCCTGAAAGAGGAAACATCTGAGCCTAAGCAGGGAAATACAGAATGTGGGCATTGAGGGTGGAAGTGAGGGCGTGGGTAGTGACATGGAGGCGGGATGCTCAGGGCAGTTTTGAGGAAGTGTGGCTACATTCATTCGGCTGGGGGGGGTCCGGGGGACGAGAGCTGTTGAGAATAAGGCTGGAGGCGATTTGGGCCCAGGTCAAGGAAAGCCTCTATTGAAAAGCTGGTAATTCAGGTCGAAGTGGATGCATCCAGCCCCTTGCCCCCATCTCTCTGATCACCGTGATTTCTTTTGGACCTGGATTTGCATGGGGTAGGGTCTAGGCTCATGGGTCTATCCTCTCCTCACAGGAAGTTGTACCAAATCCTCTCCACGTTCATCATCTCAGGGATGCGCTTCCTCCTCAACCAGCAGGTTGGGCAGTGGCAGGTCTGGGGGGTCGAGGGGGGTGCCCACTCCTTCAAAGGCCCTGACTCTGGCACCCACTTCCCAGATCTGCCCAGTGCTCCACCACGCAGGGACGGTGCTGCTCAACTCCCTTCTGGACACTGTGCCCGGTGAGTTGGTGCTGGCGGGGTGGGGAGCTCTGGGCCAGGCCCTGGGGCCTGAATGGGGGCTAGAAGGCGGCTGGGCACAGAGCTGTCAGGCAGCCCTTCAGAGTACGCTCCTTCCAATCCCGGCTGTGCAATGGCCTGGATTCACCCATGGCCTCTGCTGATTTGCTACGCGACCCATGGTAAATACTCACTTTTCTCTCGGCCTTGGCTTCCTAGCTTGGCTGGTGAGGCCATCCCCTGGGGTTGCTGTGAGGATTAACCGAGGGCTGGTTGTCAAGGTCCTCGGTATGTGCTTGTTGATCAACCGGGGCCCTATTGGTGTTCACCACCTGACACTTAATAGGTGCTTAGTTAACGTGAATTCTCTTTTCCTGAGCTGCGACCTCTGTCTTCTGTGGGAGATGGGCAGGGAAGGAGGGGGCAGGGCAAAACAGGAGGGAAGGGAATCCTTTACCATCTTGTTTAGTGACCTGATGAAATCCCTTACCAATGATAATAATAGCTACCATTGTTGAGCACTTACTGCACATCAGGAACTAGGTGCTTCCCACGTAAAACTATTTGATCTTCGTAACAACGCTATGAGGCAAGTATTATAGTGACCGCATTACAGAGGAGAAACGGAGGCCCAGGGAGCTTAAGCCGTTTGCCACAGCCTGGCACAGCCTGGAGTGATTTGAGCCCCTCCCCACAGTACGCAGTCCTGTGGACAATCTCATTGGCATTGACTACTCCCTCCTAAAGGATCCCGTGGTCTCCACCAGCAGTCTGGACATGGACTTCCGGGTGAGCTGCCCTTGCCGCCGCTGTGCCTGTCATTCCCTCCTTCTCCCGAAAGTCACTGGTTTTATCTTCCTAAAGCACAGCTCTGACAGTAGAGCACTCTGAGGCAGGGAACGCTGCGGCCCTGCTGCCTACAGTTAGGTCTGCCTCCCGGGCCTGGCATCGGAGTCTTGCTACTAGTGTCTGTCCCCACCTTTCTAACTTCACCCTGTTCCTCTGCAGCTGCTCTTTCTCATATATGCCCCCCGCTTCCTGCTTTGGGGCCTTTGCTCATGCACTGCCTTTCCCCATCTCCCCTGAAGGAGCAGGATGTAGAGCTTTATGCACATAAACCTCATTTCACCCTCTCATAACCCTGAGAGTCAGGTACGAACGTCATACCCACTTTAGGAATGTGGAAACACACTCAGAGAGGTGATGTCACTTGCCCAAGGCCACAGGGCACCTTTGGCTCCTCCTAGTGGAGTAGAGCGGAGTGGCAGAGCACAGATTCCGGAGCTAGAATGCCTGCAGTTCGGAATCCTAGCTCTGCTGCTTCCTAGCTGTGTGACCTTAAGCAAGCGGCGTTACCTTTCTGTGCCCGTTTCCTAATGTGTAAATGGAAATAACACAATAAGAAAACATACCTCAGAGGACTAAAGGAGTTGGTCTATGTAAAGGGCATGGAAGAATTGCTACATATATGTAAGCAGTGGCTGTCATCTTTACTGTCACCTAGCTTTCAAGGCCCACTCAAATGCCCCCTCCTCCCTGAGCCCCTTCCTGGGCCTCCCTTCCCAGGTCTCATGGCATTGCTTCCTCGTGGCACTCCAGCTGCGCTCCATCCGATGCCTTTTAAGATGTGTGCCCACGGGTCCCCCGAGGACAGCAGCTGGGTCTGACTCTCCGCCACCCCTCAGTGCCTAGCACTGGGCCTGGTGACATCCGGCACTGGGCCAGTCGGCCTGGGCCCTGACTCTGACCCCTCCCAGGGGGCCTTCTTTCCCCTGGCCCAGGGGAACCAGAGCTTCCCCAACCGGGCAGTGGAGCCCCAGCTGCAGGAGGAGGAACGGATGGTGTACGTGGCCTTCTCTGAGTTTTTCTTCGACTCGGCCTTGGAGAGCTACTTCCAGACCGGCGTCCTAAGGCTGACGCTGGTGGGGGACAAGGTATGCCAGGGTGGGTTTACGGAAGGGGCAAGAGGGGGCCTGTGATGGGGCTCCCGGTGACCCTGTCTCGCCCCGTCGTGCCCCTGACCAGGTGCCCCACGACCTGGAAATGCTGCTGAGAGCCTCCTACTTTGGCAGCATGATCCTGCTGGTGAGTGTTGGTGGGAGGCAGGGACATGGCCAGGGTGGGTGGGCTCACTACCTGCAGGGGACCAGTGAGGTATGGAGGTGGAGACCCCAAAGGGCAGCCACAGAGCGGACAGAAGGCCTGGCTCTGGCCAAGTCCCCTCACCTAGCCGAGCCTGTAGCTAAGTCTGCGAAGGGGGCTCACTCGCTCCTGCTCCATCCGTCCTTCATGAAGCTGTGACGAGGATGGGCTGAGAACCCCAGCTCTGCAAGTAAGCATAAGGGTTTTAATGACTGATATGCTGTTCTTTTTGCTTATTTTCCCTTGTTTAACGGGGAGAGGGATGGGAGCTTAAAATTTAACAAAAAATATTTCCGTGTCCTTGGTTCGGTGCTGTACATGACAGAGCTGGCGTTCGCACCAGGATTCTGAATTGCGATTCCAGGTCACACTGGCATTCTCCGCTACACTGTACAGCCTCATAGGGTTGTCGCGAGGGTTAAAAGAATACACGTAAAGCAAGTAGAGCAGTACCAGGAGCAGAGTAAGTGCTCAGTAAACGCTAGCTGGCATTGTTACTGCTATTGCTATCGTCATCACCACCGTCAAACTTGTGGCCAAGCATTGCTTTTAAGAGCATGCCAGACTGCCTGCGTTTGAATCCCAGCTCTGCAACCGAGTAACTGTCTAACCTTGGACAAGTTACTTAACCTCTCTGTGCCTCAATGTCCCCATCTCAAAAAAGGACACCTGTCTCACAGGGTTGCTGAGGTTTAAATGAAGCGTTTGTTTGGGGTTATTTGGTCAGTGTGGGACTCTTAACAGCGCTCCTCTGCTGCCTCGAGAAGAAACAGCACAGCAGCTTAGAGGAAGGAGATGTGGCAGTGGACTGGGATATGTAATGTAAATACACTGTCCCTGAGGAGTCGGGATGGGGGTTGGATTGTGAACACTGAGAACTTGGGACAGCAGAAAGAGAAGGAGACATTCTTAGAACACGATGTTTCTTTGTGTGCGCAAAGGCGCAGAAGCTGCACACAGTCCTGGAGGGTTTGGGAAGCCACACCCCTTTCGTGTTTGTCACCCTGGGCCCCCAGAAGGCAGAGCCCGAGCCACCCACTCCTCCTGGTGGGCGCACCTGGGAACAGACTCAGGCTTTGACCTCCCTCCCTGCTCTGTCCCCAGAGCCCAGCAGTGGTCAACTCTCCGCTGAAGCTGGAACTGCGGGTCATGGCACCACCGCGCTGCACCATCAAGCCCTCGGGCACCACCATTTCTGTCACTGCCAGTGTCACCATTGCCCTGGTCCCACTCAACCAGCCTGAGATCCAGCTGTCCAGCATGATCATGGTGCGGGCACCAGGGCGACGGCTGCTGAGGGCTGGAGAGAAGGGGGCTGGGTCCCTGTCTGGTCAGTGACGTACGGCCCCTCCCCACGCTCCTGCAGGACACCCGTCTCAGCGCCAAGGTGGCCCTCCAGGGGAAGGCGCTGCGCGTACAGCTGGACCTGCGCAAGTATGCAGATGCCTGAAAATCTCGGGCAGGCTCTTAACCTGAGTGTCAGTGTCTCCAGGACAATCACACGTGCCAAACAGAACCGGAGAGCTATTCAGTGCTGCCAACAAGCCACTGCGAGCTGTGGTCTTTGTTACTACACAGAAAGTGCTTTATGGATCAGGCACTGGGGTGGAAGTGCTCAGCAAGTAAGACATAGCCCATGAGGAGGAAAGGAGGCCTAGAGGGAGACATGGCTCTCCGAGGACACACAGCTGGAGTGGTAGAACCCCCTGGAAAGGTGTATAGGTGGACACCTAAGACTGAAACTCGGGCTTCTGGTGGCTAGGCCTGGGGGCCTGGTGGAGGGGGAGCCTCCTGGGCTCATGCCCACCAGGCACGTCTTTCCCTCCCCCAGGTTCCGAATCTACTCGAACCAGTCTGCATTTGAGTCGCTGGCAGTGAGTTGGGAATGGTGGGCGGGCAGAGGCCAGGGTCAGGGGGAGCAGCTGAGGCAAGCCCGCCCCGCTCAGCCCTGACTGTGCCCCTCCTCCCCCGCAGCTGATCCCGCTGCAGGCCCCCCTGAAGACCATGCTGCAGTTTGCGGTGATGCCCCTCATCAACGGTAGGGGTGGGGGTTATGAGGAGGGAGTGGGGAGTGAGGGGGACCTGGTAGGCCCAGGCTGAGCCTGCTGTCTTCCCGACAGAGCGGATCCGGCGTGGGGTGCAGATCCCACTACCTGAGGGGATGGACTTTGTGCGGGAGGTGGTGACGAACCACGCGGTGAGTGCACGCACAACGGGGAAAGAGGGCAGCGTCTGCCTCCTCTGCAGGTTGGGAGTGCAGGCCACCCCGACACCTGCCCCCCCCTTTTATCTTACACAGATGCCCCCAGTCCTTTGCACAGACCGTGCCCTTACCTTGGAACACCCTTTCCTGATTCCACCCCCAACGCCTGTTAATCTTTCAGGTCTTAGCTAAGAGGTCACTTCCCCTAGGAAGCCCCCCTTGAGCCCCACGGGCTGTGCCCCTGCAGCCTCTATCTCAGCACCCATCACAGGGAGTTATAAGTGCTTTGCTGTTCCATCAGTCCCACTAGATTGGGAACCCCCTCGAGGCCCAGGACTCCCTTTATGTCTCAACTCTGGCCTCAGCAATGGAATGAGCAGACTCCCTTCTCTGCTGCGCCGCACAGGGCTTCCTCACCATCGGGGCTGACCTCCATTTCGCCAAAGGGCTGAGAGAGGTGATCGAGAAGAACCGGCCTGCGGCCACCAGGGACTTCCGGACAAGCCCTGCCCCACCGCCCTCCACGGCGGCGGCCGTCTGAGCCCTCGACCCCCGCCCCTGGCAGCTGCACTCAGGACTCCAATGCCTCGTGCCCCCTCCCTCACAGCTTATAGTGCCCTCTCTAACCCTCGTGCCACGGAGAAGATGGAGTTTTAAGCTGTAATCAATTTAATTCCGTAATCACAGTCTATCAATTACAGTCTGTCCAGCCTCCGAGGGACTGTCCTGAGCTCTGTTGTGTTCCCGGGGTGGCATGAGTGCATTAAGGGCATTGTTGGGAGTGGGCAGGGGGCTGGGGGGGGGGCACACCAGGCCCTGCCCTGGGTGGGAATAAAGTGCAAACTCCCTCACTGCCCTACAGGGCTGTTCAGCATCAAGGGGAACCTCGCTTCTAGTGGGAGAGGCTGGGAGGGGCTGGATAGGGCAGTAAGCACTGGTCCCTGTGGTGCCGGTCAGTACGGCTGTTTATTCAGGAAGCGGGAGAACATGGTGAAAGCAGCCTGGGGCTTGTCGGTGGGAACCATGTGTCCGGCGCCCTGAGGAGCAAAGTTCTGTGAGAGTCCCTCCCTGTACAGCCCCTGCCGCCGGGGACTTCCTCCCGCTGGTTCCCCCCAGCCCGTGACCTTCCCCTTCCCCTGACTGTGCCCCGCACCTTCCCCCCACTGAAAACCTGCCCTTACAGGGGCCAGATGATCACCCAGCATAAAAAGAAACGGGGGGTGGGGGGTGGGGAAAGGATGGGGGGTCCTGCCCCCGGCCCCTCTTGCCCCTGCCGGGCCCCGGCCCTACCTTGATGGTGAGAAAGGCAATGTGGGAGAACTCCTTCACGAAGCCAGCAATCTGCTCCCCGCTGTCCTCGTAGTTCACTAACCAGGGCCGGCGCTGCACCTCCATCTGCCCCACCGGGAAAGACGTAGCGGCCTACAGCCACCCACCACCCCTGCTCAGACACCAAGCCTCAAGACCTCACAACCCGGGACCTCCTCCAGGTTGGCCCTGTCCACCAAGCACGCTCACGCTACCCCTGCGCCAGCCTCGCCCCGGGGCCGAGAGCCCTGCCTTACCTTCTGGCTGAGGGAATCCACAAACCACTCATCCCCCATGAAATTGCAGGCCATGTCCACGTCCCCGTTGTAGAGCAGGATCCGGTATTTCTGGAGCAGAGCAGGGGGTAGTGGCAGGTCGGGAACCAGCCTAGGCCTCACCCTTAGGGGTTCAAGCCCCACCCCTCAGGGAATCCAAGAGGCCCAGCTAAACAGCAGGAATGAGGAAACGCTTTTGTTTTCTGACTGCTTTCCCACCTGTCCAATGCTCTATGAAATGCTTTACCTACGAGAGTAGATATTATTATCAATCCCATTTCACAGATGGGGAAAGCAAGTCTTAAGATACACGAGAAACTTGCTCAGGGTCACACAGGCTAATAAAGACACTTGCGCCAGGCTATCTGACCCCAGAGCCCATGCCCGAACCACTGCGCTACAGACCTGGTCCCAACCTGGCTCTGCCGGCATCTCCTAGGTGACCTTCGACAAGACCCTCGCCCACCCTGGGCATCCATTTGCCTGTTTGTAACACGATGTGACTAGCTCTTCTCACCCCGAAGGCTCTTTGGCTCATGCAGACCCTTCAGCCTCCTACAGCAGAGAAACCTGGGGGGGTGCCAAAGCCAGGTTCGTATCCTGACCCTGCAAACTCCAGTACCTCGGGCAAGTGACTTCACTTCTGGAGTCTCCCCTCCCGTGCTCCCCTGCCTGGCCGCACTGTTCCCGGGCCCTGAGGCTGCGGGGGGACCTAGCTGTGCGGCCCCTACTCACCCGTGGGGCAAGCAGCTTGAGGTACTGGGAATTCATGCTTTGGTAGAGACGGCGATACTGTAAATTCACAAGGAAGCTTCAAGAACATGTGGGCAGGCCCAGGAAGATGGGGAGGGGGAGAAAAAGAGTGAACAGATCAGACCTCGTCGCATATCCCCAAGCTCCAGCCTAAGAGGCAGACAGCTAGGACTCAGTCCCCTCCTCATGCCTCTCTCTAGGACTTACCTAGACTGGGGGGGCCGGGGGGGGGGAGCTGGAATTCAGAGGTCCTTGACCCACTTCCACTTAGAAATGCATAGGGACACTTTGGTTGTTTCAATGACTGCGATTCACCTGGCATTTAGAGCACAGCAGCTCATAGGTGTACAAAGCACAGTGTATGACAACAGTAGGGGGTGCGTACTGACCAACCCAAAAGGGACCTGAGTGGCCCCTGCTATGCCAGGTCGTCACCTTTTTACTTGCAGGGTCAAAGGAGAGTTGAGCTGCTGGGAACAGCATTGGAGTCGGGGTGGGGGAGGGCAGTCGGGAGTGTCTATTAAATGCCATGGAAGTAATCGATATTTTCAACAACTACATGGTCCTTTAAGAGTGAACTGGCTGAATATCAATCAACTTCGGGATTAAACATCCTGCAAAACACTGACTGTGGCCCCACTGAGCCTACTACAAACGCCAAAAGCCTGCCACTGCCCCCCACCCCCAGCCCCGAGCAGCCACAGAACCTCACTTGCACATGTCCCAGGAGGGCAGCTGCTCCGGGATGTGGAGGGCCTTCCGCACAAAAGGGTTGTTGAGATAGGTGGAGGTGGCTGTGGTGTTGGTGCAGGGAGGGTCCATGTGCACCCTACGCCCGGAACGCAGCAGTGCCTGAGTGGCGTAGACACAGTTAGGGTCTTCGCTTCCCTGCCCCACCCCTCCCCACCCCGGGAGGAAGCCCAGGCCCTCGCATACCACATGCGACATCCGCTTGATCGGCAGGCGAGTGAAGATGTTGCCCAAATCATGGACTATGACAGTATCCTTCTCGTACCTGCAAATGAAGTGGGGGGATGGGTGCTGGAGCCTCCACATGGGGCTGGGGTCAGTCCAATGGGGCACCCAGCAGTGCCTACCTTAAGTGACCAGGCACCCCCCCAGCACATGGGGCATAAAGATTGTAGATGTTGAGGCCAGAGCTGCCCACGATGCGGGACACTTCCTGGAGCTGCAATGAAAACACCGGGCCGCCATGTTTTACAAAAGCTTAGCCTCCCCATGACGTTACCAGCTTGTCCCCATATTTGGAACTTTCCGACCTCACTTTGTTGTTACTCTTCCACTACTTTTTCCACAGGTGGGGAAACTGAGGCTCAGTGGAAGGAATCTGCCAGACCTGTGTCCAAATCCTAGTGCTCCCACTTTCCAGCCCTGTGACTTCAACATTCTTGGCCTCAGTTTCCTCATCTGAGGAAAATGTGGATATGATCTCCCTTCAAGGAGAAACTGAAAATTAAATAATCTACACCGACAGTTCAGCAGTCCTGACATGTGGCAGATGTCCGATAAGAGAACGCCTGTCCCCTCACAAGACCTGCCCAGAAAGCCACAGGATGGAGGGAGAGCATCCATGTTCACATGTCCCAGAGAACACCCAGTCGCTGCAAGAGGCAGGACGGGACAACAATGGAGGATGGGAGACAGGGAGTCCCCAAGGAGCTGTGGTCCTGTTCTCAGGACTGGCGATATCAGGGGCGACACACGGTGGGGTCAGAACCTTACACTGGTTACGCATTCTGCGTCTTTGTTGTCATAGAAGTTACACTTGTTTTGTGCGCAGCAGTGGGTCTGGAGGGATGACCAGAGTCTGGAGAAGATCAGAGCGGAAGTGCTTAGAGACCCATGGTAGACAGAGAGGGCGAGAACCCCACCTTCTCTCTCCATCCCCCCATCACGACCTGACCCCAGGGGATGAGGACATGTATCACAAGGTGTGGTATGTAGGTCCCCAACCTAGCTGCCCCTGGGTCATGATGCCACGTCTCCTTGGTCCCTTTAAATTCTAATCTCCAGTCTTTGGCCTTTTAGCACCAAACGCTTCTAAGCAACCCCAGCCCCCACCCTGTGCTGACAAATCAGGATAGGCCCTGGGATATTATGTACGTAGAGGACAGACCTGAAATCTTATGACCGGCCCCACCCTGAAGGCTGCCCGGCTGCCCCCCTCCCATACCTGTTCCCCAGAAGACCATGGTAGTAGGCGAAATAGACGAGAGAGTTGTCATTCTGCTCATAGGAGGAGAGTCCATTGCCCACGGCCAATCCCTGCAAAACAGCCAAGGTATCCAGCTCAGCAGGAGGGTGAGGAGGAGCCACCCTTGACCCAGGGAGGTTTGTGGGGGTGTGTGGGTGGGGGAGGCCACACATCATACAGAACAGAGCTGGCAGCTTGAGACGTGAATTTCCTGTCATGGGAGGCACATGAGCAGAGAAAGGCTGGCTGGCGGCAAGGGTGTTATGGAGGAGTCTGGGTTGGATGGGGGAGTCGACCTGTGTGACCTCACCAACCAGGAAGCTATGGTCCCAAGTTGCCCCCCTCCCCCCTGCAGCTGTCCTGCACCTGAAGGTTCATGCTTGGGTCCTGCATGACCAACATGGCCAGGGTGGGGATGTAGATGCCGGCATAGCTCTCCCCTGTCAGGAAAAGCTCGTTGTCCTTGTACTCCGGGAAGAGGCAGAAGAAATCCTGAAGGGCTTCAAAATTACTCTCGGCGACCTGGGGATGGTAGGATGGAAGGGATCCAGAGACTCTGGTATCTGGGCTGGAAGGACTCTCAGATAATGACACCAACCCACCCTGTTTGTGCAAGAGGAAGTGACTTGATAGTGCCAACATCACGCTGCACGGCACGTAACAGTGAAAGATGGATTCCAAAACCATGGTCTTTGTCTCTCGGTGTCATGCCACCTTCAGAGAACCAGGGAGGCCAGGGCACACCGGCAGGTGCAGGACTCACCTCAGTGTCATTGGTCGCATAAAGCTTGTCATTGGAGTAGGAGAAGCCCACCCCAGCTGGGGACTCGAGGTACAACACATTGGCAATCTAGGCAGGGAGGAGGAGAGCAGCTGCAAGAGGGCTCCGCCATGCCCAGGACTTCCCCACAGGACCCAAAGCAAGGCCCATACCAGGTTCCAAGAATAGGGATTGTACTCCAGGGTGACACCATCTGGCTGGATCTGAGGAGGACAGACATCCCTGATTAAGGCCCAAGATCGAACTGGGTGGAGGGAAAGGGCCACCGCGTCCCGCCAAAGATTCAGATGAAGAAATTAAGGCTCAGGAAAAGGACGCGTTTTTGGATAAAAGGACAAGCGTCCTTTTCCCCCTCTTCGCCGCCCTTCTCCTTTGGGAAGTGTCCCCTCCCTCTCTTTTTCCTGAGTCGCGGAGGAGAGAGCTGCTTCCACTCACCAGGAAGGGGCCGTGCTCGGTGAGGAAACCATCTAGGGAGCTGCAGCCCGGCCCTCCGTTGAGCCAAAGCACCACAGGACTGCTCTTGGGATCCTTCTGGGACTCCACAAACCTGGGAGGGGTGTCAGGCCCGGGTGGGTGCAGGCGGAGGGGCCTCTTCCAGCCCTCCCCGCTCCCCAGCTCCGCAGTCCTCTCCCCTGACGGGCATCACTGTGGGCCCCCCACCCCGCCCTGGAGGGAGAGCTGCGGACCAGTAGTGGAGACGCTTGGAGCCGGATCCTTTGAGGTAGCCCGAGTAGTGGCGAAAAGAGGGCTGCTTGGCCAGCCCGGGAAGACGCTGGACTTCGTCCTGATCGGGGGCTGCCTCGCCTCGGGGCGACCACAACAGCAGCAGCAACAGGAAGCACGGCGGCGACAGCGCAGCTCGGACCATCTGCGGAGGAAGCGGGCGCCGGCTGTTTACTGGCTCCCTGGCTGCGCGCAGCGGTCCCTGGGGAGGAGCTGGCGGCGCTCCGCGAGGATATCCCCAGCCCCGGGCCCAGCTCCCACCGCCGAGCCTCCTCCGCCCGCTGAGCCCACAGCCGTAGTTCCGGGATTCCTTCCAGTCTCCGACGTCCTCTCACCTCTGCTCCCCCGCGTCCTGGCTCTCCGGGAGAAACCTGGCGACTGCAAGTCATGTGTATGCTCAGTCACGTGTGCCTCGGCATCACGTGACAGACGGCCTCCAAGGTTCGGCTGTTTCTGTTGACCCCGAGCGGACTCGGCAGGGGCAGGGGGGGGCGGCGGCGGGCCACGCCCCTTCGGGGGCCCAGGGCTGCTCAGGTCACATCCCGGGCTCTGGTGATCAGATGACTCGGGTGTGGACGGCCAGGACCTACCACCCTCCAGGGGGATCTCTTTCTAGGCGGGATGGCTGAGCAAGCGGCGCTAGGACACCCCGCACAGAGTCTGAGGGAAGGGAGTAGATGGGAAATACCATACATGGTGCCCCCCGCGATCATCTTCTGAGCCAGCTGCCCAAAATAGCCCCAGGCACCCGCGGGCCGACTCATGGCGGGGAAATGGCTGCTGTCTCCGGCCCCGTGGAATTGGGCGCGTCCTGGGGACCGGCGCGCCCCGAGCCTCCTCCCACCCGCTTCCACCGGGTGCACGGTGCCAATATCCGCGTTGACCTTTCTGGGACGCGAGCCACACGCGTGGAGAGCTTTGCTCACGGCCTGTGCTTTAGTCACGAGCCACTGGTCCCGGGCCAGGTATTTCTGGTCGAGATCGAGGAGAAAGAGCTAGGCTGGTGCGGCCACTTGCGCCTCGGCCTGACTGCGCTAGACCCTGCCACTCTGACCCCCGTGCCCGAGTTTTCGTTGCCTGACTTGGTCAGTCTCGGCCACACCTGGGTCTTTGCCATCACGCGCCATCACAACCGCGTGCCCCGGGAGGGTCGCCCGGAGGCAGAGGCAACGGCCCCTAGCCGTCCCTCAGGCCTCCTAGTGGAACCGTACCTGAGCGTTGAGCAGTTTCGTATCCCCCGCGACCGCTTGGTGGGCCGCAGTCGGCCCGGGCTCTACAGCCACCTCTTGGACCAGCTCTATGAGCTGAACGTGCTGCCTCCGACCGCGCGCCGTAGCCGCCTGGGCGTTCTCTTCTGCCCACTCCCGGATGGCACGGCCGACATGCACATCATCGTCAACGGCGAGGACATGGGCCCCAGCGCCCGAGGGCTGCCAGCCGCCCAGCCCCTCTACGCAGTGGTGGACGTGTTTGCTTCCACCAAGAGTGTGCGCCTGGTCCAGCTTGAGTATGGCTGTAGGTATCGCACCCCGTGGGTATCGACCCCTCCTGGCCCAGTGTGGGGACCCAAACTTGCTAGGCTCCCAAGCCAGCTAGCAAGCCCTTGGTCTGTCCAGCAGTTGGGAGATCTGACCTCAAATTCTGCCTCTGCTTGTGATCTTGGATAAGCCACTCCCTGGCTCTGGACCTCAGTTACCCATTTTGGCTGTGATTGATTAGGATGCCCTCCAAATCCCCTTCTGGCTTTGACAATATATTGTGTATTAACCTAGGGCAAGGTTTCTAAACTGATTTTAGATTCTGGGCTTCTTTGAGAATTGTCTGCTCTTTTGTTAAGCAAATGCTCCTAGATTTGAACATTCCAATTTAAAACAATTTATTTATTTTTAGAGAGAGGGGGAGGGAGGTAGAGAAGGAGAGGAACATCAATGTGCAAGAGAAACCACTCAGATGCCTCTCGCACACCCCCAACCAGAGACCTGGCCCGTAACCCACGTGTGTGCCCAGACTGGGCATGGAACCAACAACCTTTCCGTTCACAGACTGGCACTCAATCCGCTGAGGCACACCAGCCAGAGCCATACCAGTTTAAAGTCATCACAGATCCCTAGATTGAGAGCTTCATTCTGAGGTCTGGTTCACTATAACCCTGGGAAACCCTTTATTTAGACCTCTGATCACATTTTTATGTATTCAGTGAACTAGAGCCCACTTTGTGCAAGGCCTGTGCTGGAGGCTGGCATTGCACAGCTAAATCAGATGCTGCCCCTGCCCTCAGAAGCTGCTAAGTGAGGGGGAAGGGAGGGTGCTGAGGGTTACAGTAGAAATAGGTCTGCAGTGTTGTGAAAGTGTTGTGAAAGAGGCGCTTATCTCAACCACAGGTGTGGCCCCATGCCTCACGGGGGGCCTAGGGAGCCGAGGGGAATTGTGCAAGTTAACGACGAAGGGGGTACTAAGACCTAGATCTCCTGGGACTCAGCCTCAGACCCGCCCTCCAGTTTGGTTTGCCTTTGACTGTGTTCTTTCCACAGTGCCATCCCTGCAGACCCTGTGCCGCCTCGTGATCCAGAGGAGCGTGGTGCACCGGTTGGCCATTGATGGGCTTCACCTACCCAGGGGACTTAAGGATTTCTGCAAGTATGAATGAAGGCCTGCAGCCACCCTGGGGCAGAGTCTAGGAGCACGTCCTGGCCCCAGAGCCGTGGCTGGCCTGAAGCTGGCCACGCTGCTGTCAGCTAGGACCAGAAATAAACACAGCCAATGCTGCACTGATCGTTAGAGGGTCTCCTTGCCCCTGAAGCCTGTGAGGAGCACTTCTTTTAGAATCACTGGGTTAGCAGGCCAGAGCAGGAAAGATCATTTTAGACCTCACCTAGCCAGAGGTTCCTAACTTGGGTACTCATCAGAGTCATAGACTCCATCTCCAGAGAATCTTACTAGATCTATTGGAGGTGTAGGCCTAGCCATTGTTTTATATAAAAGCTGCCCAGGAGATTCTAATGTACAGACAGGGTTGAGAAGCTTTTCCCTAGAACAGAGGTCTCAGTTTCGGCACATATAACCACCGGAGGAGCTTTGAAAAATACCTTTAACTGCGTCTGACCCTGGAATTCTGATTTAATTGGGCTGGGATGAGGCCGGGCATAAGGATTTCTAAAAGTTCCCAAGGCAGTGACTAATGTGAAACCTGGTGTGAGAATGAGTGCCCTAGATCAACTATTTCATTTTGTAGATGGGAAACCGAAGCCCAGAGACATGAGTATATTTGTCCAAAATCACACAGCAAATGAATGGATGTAGAGCATCCCTTTTCTCACACTATAGGCACAAGGCACTAGACTCCATTGTTTGTATCCCTGATCATTTGCTCCTGTATATATGGTCTCATTTAATCCTCACAACCTCTGGTGAGGTACCGGGCAGCCATTACTACCCCCCTTTTACAAATGAGGCTGTCCAGGAACAAAACTGTCCAGGTGACCCGCCCAAGGGAAAGGCAAGAACCTAGAATGCCCAGGTCCTGGTCCAGCGCTCTTTTAACCCCACCCCATTGTCTTGCAGAGGTTCTAGAATGAACAGGTCAATGCTGTGGGGTGGGTTCCAGGTGTAGAAGGGAGGGATTATGAGGTGACATTCTAGAAGGGTGGGGAGGTGGAGAGGAGGCAGATGACTGTTCCTTCACAAAGAGGGGCTCTGGGGCAGCCATGTCCTATTTCATGTCTCTGCAAACTCATCCAGGCCTTCTGCCTTCCGGCCAAGGTGAGAGAGGGGCTCCTGGAACTGGAGTGGGTTCCACAGCTTCCCCTGAGAACTTGCTCCCTGGCCCTGGGGAGGGGGAGGTCCTGCTGGGCACTTTGGGGCTGGCCCTCAAGTCAGTTCTTTTCGAAGAAAAGCTATTCTCAAAGTGCCTGCCGACAGCTGCCCACTTGGTCTCTCTCTCATTCAACAAACACTTCTCCATCACTTAGGGTTGAGGACTTGGGGGTGTGCATAGGAGTAGAACTTAGTTCCCCACCGCTAGCCACCCCTCTTTGGTCAGTCTTAATTGCTCCTGTTCCCAGTGCTCTGCTCCTATGCCCTGCCCCTCAGGGCCTCCTCCCCAAAGAGACCAAGAATAACATTCCATCTCGTTCCTGTTTCTGCAGGTGAGACTGCTTCTCCAGGCTCAGCTCTTGGCCCCTATAGTCCTGTAGAGCCAGCGGTGGTGGGCTCTGGTGGACGAGGGCCCCTGAACCAGAACGCTGAGCAGGTGCTCCCTGCTGCCCAGGCCTGGGGCCCAGCGCTGCCAGTGCCAGAAGCCAGGGGCTGTCTTAGGGGGCCTAGCTGGGAGACACTGCGGCAGAAGGAGTACGGCCAGTACTGCCCCCGGTTCCCAAGGTTCCACGCGAAGCAGCCGGAGAGCTTGGGCTGGGAGGATGGCTGCTCCAGAAGCAGAGCTCCCCACCTGGCTGGATCCGGCAGGCCTGGGTCCCTGCTGCTGCGTGGGCTGTCACCAGGGGTTGTGCCAGTGCCCGCCGAGGCAGGGGGGAAGGAGGCCGGCTCCCAGCCTGACATCTGCATCCTTACCCTGGCCATGATGATCGCTGGCATCCCCACCGTGCCCGTGCCGGGCCTGCGGGAAGAGGACCTGATCCGGGCGGCTCAGGCTTTCATGATGGCCCACCCAGAGCCAGAGGGGGCTGTGGAGGGGGTGCAGTGGGGGCAGGCGCATGCCCATGTCGCCTCTGGGCAGATGCCCCCAGGGAGATCCAGGAGGGGCCAGCCTCCTGGCTCCTGCTTGTAGCTGATGAAATAGCATCAGACACCTAGGGTGGCTTCTCTGTATGGTTTTTGGGCAGACAGGCTTGGGCCTGCCTAGGGCAGGGATGGGGGCAGGGTGGTGGTTTGAGCCACTCTGAGGAATACCAGTCCTTCTTCAGGGCCCAGGCCTCAGGAAGTTTTTCCAGGTACCACTAAGCCAGGGGACAGGTCTCGTCAGAGGAATTATTCAATACAATGAAAATGAGGTAGGGTCCCTGCTTGGACAGTGACGGCTGCTTTTGTATTTTTGGGACTTCATCAAAATTTCTCGTACAAAGTCCGAGGCAATGTGCATTCCTCTTGCCTTACATTTCCCAGCCTGCTGAGGGCAGGAGAGGGAACCGCAGGCAAAGGAGGAAAACTCGAGCACCCACTGCACATCAGGCCCATTCTAGATGCCCACTCCTTTAATGTTCCCAGCGCTGTGAGGCTCTCCATTTTCACAGATGAACAAATTGGGGCTTAGAAGGGTGACTTGCCCCAAGTCCCGCAGCTAGTAAAAGGCAGAACCAGGCCTCAAAAATCAGGCAGGTAAGGAACCAGGATTTGTGTGTAGTGTCAGACTCCAGAGTCTCTATTCTTTCCATGATTTTTCCTAAAGTGCCTTCCACAAGAGAAAAAAAGCTAGACCAGAGTAGAGTAGGCAACATCCAACTTTAATAACCTCAGGATAGGGCTTGGGGGGAGGGTAGCAAAAAGGCTGGGGACGTGTCTGAACCCTCTCCTCTGAAGGGCTTCTCGCTCTGCGGGTCAGGTGAGCTATCCCGTGACAGGGAAAACTCCCAGACCTTGATCTCACCCGGTCTCTCTTATCTCAGACCAGGGGTCACCTGTTTTTGTAAGGCCCTTGAACTAAGAATGGTCTATGCCTTTTGAAAAGACTGTAAAAGAACAAAACAAAACAAAACACACCCAAGAATATACAACATACTGTATGTGGCCAGCAAAGCCTAAAATATTTACTGTTAGGTCCTTTGCAGAAAAGGTTTGCTCACTCCTGTCTCAGGGAACTAGACACGTTGTAGGGACCAGGCTGCGGCACGCTAGAAGACCCTTGTCCTTCCATGAAGTATAATTGTGGGGGCGGGGTGGGGAGGGTGTGTGTGCCTGTGTGTGAGCGTCTCGGCACTGAGGGCAGTCACAGCTGGACCTGCTCGTAAGGGCCGATCCAGCTGTCGGCCAGTTCCCGCAGGGTGCTGTGCCGCCGCTCGAACTCCTCCTGGCTGCAGTGTTGCAAGAGCTGACCCACCTCCTCAGTGAGGAGCGCCACAGCCAGGTGCTTGTCCAGGGTTTCACTCCACTTGCTGCCCAGGATGCCATCTAGCTTGGCAGCACAGCCTGCCGTCCACTGAGGCGGCAGCATGTTGGGCTGGAGCACCTGGCGGCGGGCACTGAGCATCGCTAGGATGTGGCGGCAGGGCAGGTGGAAGGCCTGGTTGAAGTAGCAGCTGCAGCTGGCGGGCGGCTGGGGCTGCACCCTATGGGTGTCTTCCAGGATCTGGATGTTCACCTTTTCTGAGCCAGAGCCAATGAGGTGCACAGATTTCTGGACCACGGCAAGCTCACCCAGGCAGAGCTGGGCTGCTGGCCCCGTGCAGATGGAACTGAGGGAGTGCTGGATGCAGGCCTCTACCAGCTGCTCCACTTTGGGGATTTGGGGGCTGATGTCTGAGGTGGCACGATTGTTCTGGGGACTCAAGCCCAGGCAGAAGCTTGCCCTGTCTCCAGAATTCTGCTGCATGTATCGGAGCAGGGAGGTCACGCCTTGTTCCACAGACGGGGTGGTGCCGAAGAACTGGCTGAGCATGCGGGTGGTCACCTCCAGGCCCTGGAAGTAGCGGCTGCTCTCAGCCCGGCTCCTCCAGCGGTGGGCCAGCCAGATGCGGTCGTTGAGCAGCCAGTAGGAGTGGAGCTTGGGCAGCTGGTCTGGGGGGATATAGTTGATCAGGAGCGCGTAGAGCTTCCGCAGGTTGCTGGCGGTGGCCGAGCACATCGTGCTCTGCAGGGAGGTCAGGAGCGCCTGCTCCACAGGCTGCTCGAGGGAAAGCTGATAGAACTTACCCTGGAGGAACTTACAGATGTGGAAAGCTGATGGCAGGACCTCGGCTGTGGGGAACTCTATAGCTAGGGTGGGCATGGGGAGGAAGCAGGGATCCACTAGGATCGTACAGACTCTCTCCCAGGCCGGGTTAAACTTCTTGAACACCTGGAACATCTGGGCCAGGCCTTCAGCATCCTCCTTGGCAGGAATGGTGAAGTAGACGGCCCGGGCAAGAGGGCCCTCCAGCTGCACCCGAGGGCCGTCCACCAGAAAGGTATATAACACCTTGCCCGACGGGTTATAGGTCCGGTGGATAAATAAGATCTCAGGGAAGTGGGCAAAGATGCCCTGCATAAAGCAGCTCTGATAGTTAAGGGTGTCTAACTTGGCAGTCTTGCTAACCTGGTACAGCAGCAGAGGCGGGCTCGGGTCCTCCATGAGGAGCTCGTTCAGCATTGTCAGGGCCATGGGAGAGACGGCGGATGTCTACATGCCAAGGTCAAAGTCCTTCTCTGCCAGGCTGCCCTACAGGAGGCTCTCAGTCTCCCAAGCTCCAGCTGAGCTGAGGCTTGAGGCTGGGCTGTATTCTCCAGATCTTGCTCCAGAGAGGGGCCTATGGAGAGGAACAGAGGTTTAAGGAGACAGTAGGGGCTCAGCCCTTCAATTATTCATCTAGACGATACTTATTGAACTTACTGTGTATCAGTACTCTTCTCGGGGAGATACACAATAAGCATGTAAACAAATAAGGACATAGCAAATATTAAAGGTTACAAAGACCACAAGACAGGGTAACGGGTAGGGAGTAAACTGCGGAGGGAGGGAAACCAGCCAAGGTGGTCAGGGAAGTCCTCTCTCGGGGGACGGGGGCTGACATCGGAGCTGAGACACCACTGATGAACCAGCCACGGAATGATTTGGGCCCAGAAGATCTAAGGTGTGAAGGCTAGTGCTGCATATAGTCTCTTCTAAAACACAGTATTTTAAATATGTGTACAGCACTTTTTATTTACAAATTACTTCTTGGTGTCCATTCTTTCATTTGGCCCTGGTGTGTACATGGGAACTGCAATTGTCCCACACTTGCTGTGTGATCTTGGGCAAGTCAGTGACACCCTCTGAGCCTCCATCTCTTCAACCATAAAACGGGGTTTACAAACGTGCACGGCTGCTTCAGCCTCTCTGCAAATCCCTCTGTGAACTGCAAAGCTCTAGTCCAATGTTTCCTCTATTTGACCCCAAGGCAGGTTATTGTCCCCATTTTACAGATGGGAAACTCAGGCTTAAAGAGGCTGTGACTTGCCCAACATTACTCTGTAAAAAGCTGGATGCTGAGTGTTTGGCTCGAGATCTGGAATGCTTTCCAAAGTCCCTGAGGTCCAAAAACCAGAGACAGAGAAAGGAAGGGGCCTCTGACCTCTCACCTCTAGCCCGGACAGGAGGATGCTGATGTCAGACGATTCCATACCATACGGAGTCCGGCCGAAGCCAGAAGTCAACCTCCCATCCCTTTGGGAGCAGTGTCAGGGCTGACAGCAGCCGTCAGTTGCCTTAGCTCTCCACCCCTCCCAAAATCACTCACCCACATCCTGGCTCTGTCGCCATTTCTCCCTATTTTACCCAGCCTCTGGCTCTGACGGCTGTCTAGGCTCACCAACTGTGACGCCGGTTTCCCGTGACTCGAACCAATGGCCCGAGGAGCTCACGTTAGGTTTTTCGGGCTTGGACCAATCGTAGCCTGGCGATTAGTGGGAGGTGCTGTTACCAGGGTTACGAGGGGCTCGGCTGGCGGTAACCAATGAGAACCTGAGGACACTCGCATCCAGGCGAGTCCGAGCCCTGAGCCTGGAACTCTGGAACCTCCCATCTGCGGAGTCTACTGGAAGGGCGTGTTACTATGGAAACTCCCTCTGCGGCCGAAAATGAAAATAAACAGCAGTGTTTCATGAATTTGTTCTTTTCTGGTCAAATTCCAAAGGTCCAGGAGGGGCAGGAAAGCGTGCAGATGTAGTTGTACTGGGTCTTCTTTCTTGGGGAACCTGAGGCCCAGGTTTCAAATTCTGCCTTCAGGTCAGGGGTCAGGAACCCGAGTTGAGAAAAATGAGAAAACCCAGATCTCCTGGGGAGAGCTTGGTGTTGCCTAGGTAAACGCCCCCCCCCCCCCCCCCCCCCCCAGGTTTTAGGGGGAGAGAGAGAGAGAGAGAGAGAGAGAGAGAGATCCAGAATGGCGCTGTTACTTGTTAAGGTCATGGTGAACTAGTTGCAGGAACTAAGGCTGACGGCCATCTGTTGACCTCATTTCCCCCAAAGCTGGTTGGTTACCAGGAGATTAAGATGACAAACTACAACAGCAAAAGTCGGTGCTGATGCTTACAATACAGCAAAAATGTTCTGTTTTTATAAATCTAGAGGGGAAACTGGGACTAGTATAGCCCAAAACTAAGCTTTGCAGATGAAATGAGGGCCTTTCCCACAGTCCCCCTGCAAGCCGCAGGCAGCTGATTGTAGGATTCAGGTTTCTTCCTTCCCTGTCTACTTGGCCGCCTCCTGCTGGGGCCTGGGGCTGCCTGAAATCAACGTCGAACGTCTGGCTGGTAGGCAGAGGATGAAGCAGTGGATTAAGTCTTTTGAGGTATCAAGTTGTTTTGCTTCACAGTCCCCACTAGATTCCTTCCCTGTTCAAGCAACACACACTTCCTTTGCTTATTTGATTTTATTTAAAAAAAAACAACAACTTTAATATGAATAAAAATAGACACAAATAACAGATTCTTTGTAAAGAGCAGCAACAGTCAAGGGCTACCCTCTTTCCCTTTGTCCCTGAAAACAGGCCTTTTTATCGGGTCCCTTTTGTCTCACCCTATCCGGGCCACGGGTTCATCTCTGGAAAGTGAGTAAGATCTGATCTCAGGGATTAAGGGAGAAAGAAGGAGACAACTTTGGCCTTGAACAATGAATGAGGCTCTGAGGAACGCCAAAGGCAGGGCAGAAAAGGGAGTGGTTCAAAGGTCTGTCACACGATGGGGTTCCTCTTCTCCCTATTTTAACAATCTTCCCAGCCCTATCTAAGAAGACATAGGTTAAAATGCTGACCCCTAGTGTGTCCTGCCCACTGTGAGCTCTCAGACTTCCAAGGAGAGAGATTTGTGGTCTAGTGCATCAGAACAAGTGCTTCAGAACAAGTGCTTCAATTGTGAATCGCGGTTTCAGAAAGAGGGAGTCCCTCCCCTTCCTCCTCCTTTCCCCAGAGGAAAGGGAGGCGGCCCACATCCTTGAAGTCCCCGGGCTGCTGAGTGGGCTCGGCTGGCCGGCAAGGGTCAGCCCAGATGTCCACAATCTTGCGCAGGGTGGAGAAACGCTCCTCCAACTCTGGCCCCTCGCTCTGCATTAGCAGGTTTGCTAGCTCCCTGCTTAGGTCCTGAATCATGTCCTTCCGTCCTTGTTTCCCGGGCTGGCCCGTGTTTGGGACCACAACAGGGGCCCGGAGCTCCCCACCAGGCCCGAGGAGGTGCTGGTACCTCTTCTGCCACCGGCGGCAAACCATGGTTTCACCCACGGGCTTCTGGCTGGTGTGCAGCAGGGCCAAAACGTGCCGGCACGGCAGGTGGTACCACTGCTGAAAGGAGCAGCTGCAGCTACAGCCGTCTTTGCTGACCTGGTGAGAGTCCTCTAGCAGCTGCACGTCCACGGAGGCGCCACCCATATCCACCAGGTGGGTGGAGTTCTGCACCACCTCCCATTCATTGTAGCACAGCTTATAGGCCAGTTCGAAGCCACGCTGGTGCAAGGTGTCTAGCATGCCACCGTGCGAGGGCTGCATCTGGGGCTGCTGCAGCAGCTGCACCTGCTGCGGGATCTCTTTCACAGGGATCCTGGTGAGGCTCCCCCCACAGATTCCAAAAGGCTTCTTGGACTTTGGTGGCATGCTTGCTGGCCGCACTCTCTTTAACTTGGGGGGAGCCGTGGGCAAGTTTTTCACGCCTTTGGTATTAAAGCAGTCTATGTAATCCACAAAGCGGAGGATGCAGTCCAGCAGGGACTGTTGTTCTCGAAAGAGGCTGGACACCTTGCTGGTGACGATGTCTAGGCTGTCCATGTAGGTGTTACACGCGTGCAGGCCCTTCCTGACGTGCATGTACCACAGCAGTTCACAGGAGAACCAGTGGGCCTGCAGGAAGCTGAAGAGCTCCTCGTCTAGCAGGGCCTGGGACATCTGACAGAGATTCTGCAGGCTGGCTTCGGAGGTGACAAACACCGCCTCCCGCAGGGCTTCCTTCATGAGATTTTTAAAGGATGCATCGGTGGAGCTACGATGCAGTTTCTTCTCCAGGAGGCGGGTGGTGTGATAGATGGACAGGAGGAGGCGGGCGGCGGGGAAGACCTCCTGCAGGACGGCCCGGTGAGGGAAGCATGGGTCCACAAAGACCACCTTGATCTTGGGCCAATCTGAGTTGAACTCCGCGAAGATACTCAGCATCTTGGCCACAGACGTGGCTGTCTCGGCCTTGAGCACAGAAAAGTGTACCACTCGGCCCTCCCGTTCCTTGTTCTCCACCAAGAAAGCATAGAGAATGTGGCCCTGGGCGTTCTCCACCCGATGCAGCAAGAGGCTTTCTGGGAAGCGGACGAACAGGCTGCTCATCTTGCTGCTCTGAAAGCTGAGCCGGTCCAGGTCCTGGCTGTTGCCTACACTGAGGGAGGCCATGGAACCCTCGTCCACCTTGAGAAAGTTCTTCATCACTTTTGCTATCTTGGCCAGGTCAGAAGGGGTGATACCCTCCTGCTCTGGCTGGGAGGCTGCTTGGACCTTATCTGAGCAAAATGATGGTTCCACTGGGGGCTTCTCAGCCATGTTCAGGTCTTTCTTGAAGGCAGGCTGCTCAGGCTCAGGTTTCTGTAAGCACATCGTCTTTTGAGATTTGCCAGCAGTGTCTCCTCCAGGATCCGCAGTTTTGGAGTCAACGTGTATATGCTGGGTGTTGAGTTCACTGATAAATAGTCTATCCAGTTTCTCGTTGTACCGCAGGAGCAAGTATGCCGGGCATGTGTCCGCCTCTGGTGTTCTCTTCCTGTTTGACTGGGTCCGAATGCAGACGAATTTCACCTGCACATATCTGGGAAGGTAGAGTTGGCAATGAGAAAGGTGCTGACAACCCCCTTTCTTTCATAAGACAAGGCCCTGCTAGGACTTGCAGTGGCTGATACAGTCTCTGGAGACCACAATGCAGTGCAGGATGGAGGGTAGGTTTACTTTCACTCTGCAATCCCAAAGGACGCAGCTTTTACTTCAAAACCCTACCTAAAACTTCCTTCACTTTCATCTACAGCAGTTCGAAGCCCCAACTCCTTTCATTCGCTCCCTGTTGCCCATCTGGAGCTGCCACTGCCAGCAATTCAATCTGATGAGGCAAGATACAAGGGAAAACAGGTAACAGGCAAGAGCAGAGTACCCAGCTGCTTACTTACTGTTTAAAATGTCCCTTCTGGTGACTGCGGGGCCTCGGGGAGAGGAGTTGGTAGAGGGGGACAAGTGGTGATGCAAAAAAAATAAAATTTTTAAAAAAATTTAATTTAAAAAATTAAAAAAATAAAATGCCCCCTTCACATTCCTGCCTTTTGGGAGCCATTGTCTCCTCTCACAGCAAAAATAAAAGTGGCCCCCAAGGGTAAAGGTATGTCCGGGCCTCCTCTCGAAGACAGAAGATCTCTGCTTATCTTTTGTGTAAAGAAAAACGTCCACATCCTGAGAGATTTTTGAGAACCCCAGGGCTAGATGATCTTTAGGGTCCCTGCTCGCTCTGCCATTCTAAGTGGAAAGTGATGATTCAAAGAAGGGTAATTAAACTGATTATCTGCTCTTTCTCTCCTGCTATCACCTTTCACCCCTTGCTCAAGGCCCAAATCAGGTTCCACCTTCTCCAAGGAGCCTTTGTGGATGCCTTCAAGCCACAGTAATTGCTCCTTTCTCTGTATTCATAGCATTTATTTGAAATAAAAGGTTTAGCAGATTCTCTGGATAGCAGTATGCCTAGTGGGTAGACAGTGTAAATGCTGGAGGCTGGCTGCTAGGTTTGAGTCCTGGCTCCGCCGCTCAGAAGCTGTTTGACCGTGGACAAGTAGCTCCGCCTCTCTGTGTGCAGTTTCCTCACCCTAAAATGAAACTATGAGTTTCATGGGTTGTGATGAGAATTAAATGAGCCACACTTTACTAGTGTTAATAGAAAAATTTTAAATTTCCAGTTGGATACAACAATGGATTAAATATAGAAATAAAATCATAGTAACATTAGTGCTGGATTTCCTTAAGCCTCTGTTCCCTAATTCCCCATATTGAAAATGCATACCCTGGCCCTGGCTGGATAGCTCAGCTGGTTAGAGCATCATCCCCATACACCAAGGTTGCAGGTTTGATCCACGGTCAGGACACATACAAGAATCGACCAATGAATGCATACGTAGGTGAAACAACAAAATCAATGTTTCTCTCTGCCTTCGTCTCTCTAAAATCAATAAAAAAGAAAACACATACCCTCATACCAGGCTTCTGGACAAAGGCAATTAGAGGGGTCTTATCCTAGTACGGCTGGATTTTAAGTATATGTGTGTCTCCCACAAAAACAGCAGAACTGAGGGAACTTGGGAACTGATTACTTTTTTTAAAGGACGTGGAGACACACGTGCTCCTCTGGCTTCAGCTGGGATGCTGTCAAGTGTCCTTCTCCACACTTAACATGACAACAGAAAACCCATTCTTCTGTTGATGAGCTATTTTGATAGGAATGGAGATTCTAGCACACATTGAACTTGGAATACAAATACTGTTCTCTTGGGTTTGGGAGAACCGAAGCAGTCTAAGCAACCCTCACATTGGTGAGAAGCCCTCTGTAGTCCCACCCATTACGCTTTCCACGGCTTTGATACCTCCCCAAATTTTTCCTGTTGCTGCTTATTAACACACAGCTTTTAACTGAGCATTTGCTCCTGACGGTTTAAGAAATGTTCATGTGGTATCACACTGTCAAGTTTTATCTTTTTAGTCCTCTGTGCAAGTGAGTTGGAAACAAGCATGGTATTGTAACCCTACCTGATGGAATGGTCTAGAATGAGGATTATTTTTTAGTGGCAGGACTTTCCATTTTAATATTTCTTAAGTTTTTAACATGAATTTGGCATTGGAAAAGGGAAGAAAGAAACTGTTTACTGAAAAGCAGTGTCTACTCTTCTGCTTTAGGAGTGTGTATTCATGGTTGAGTGAAAGGGAGAGACTCTTGGGTTTTCCATTGTCATGTTACGTGTGGAGAAGGACGCTCGACAGCATCCCAGCTGAAGCCGGAGCACGTGTCTTCAGCTGAAAGCTGAGGATGTAACTGATGTAGTGACTGATCACGCTGGAACTGATCACAAGATGGAGAAGGATCATTTTCCTTGGCTGGGGCAAGCACCCAAGAAAAAGAATGCCGCAGCCTAACTTAGTGTTCACCTAGGTTTCTGGATTTGAAACTGACCTTCCTCCCACCTTACTCCGCACACCTAAAATTGTCCGTTCTTATTAGACCAAAGAGCAAAGAAGGGAAAAAAAGTAGAACATTTTACCAATCTGTATCACTCAGGTACAATTTTGTGGTGATATTTTTGTCTCTTTTCTTTGTACTCCTCTTAAAAGTCCTTTCCCAGCATATCCTTCTACGGTTGCCTCTGTTCTCCGCGGGGCACCTCAGTGTGGGATGCTGTACCTCTACTGCTGTCATGTGAATGATGGGATGTAAGCGACCATCACCGTAAGGGCTCTTTGTAAAAAATTCAAAAAAAATTTTTTTTAGTTTTAAAAAGGAGGTTGTATGCATTTTATAGTCTGGCTAGCAGTTTGATATCTTGCTGTCATGTATGTTTTTCAATCTGTATTTATCCATCCCATCAATAAATATTAGTTATAAAACAAACAAAAAAAATAAAGCATTAAATAAGCCACAGACCTAACTTTTAGCCCAGAGCCTGGTTCAGCCTTTTATTTATTTTAAATAAAAGTCATCTACTATTATCACAGCTCTTACGCCTTGTGAAATTCACTTGGGTGGGTACGTAGTACATTCCAATTGGATCGGGCTGTCTTCAAGTGACAAAGCTCAGTGTTTTCCAAGCACCTAACACAAGGCTCACTACTCCTTCATCAAAGATCTATTGGATAAGTGACTCATGGCCCACTGGTGGGTAGAATGGGTCACACCTCTGCCTCCTCACGGAGTGTCCTAGCTCAGTGAAGGGGGGACAATTCTCAGCTCCGGGCATGACACGACACAGCCTGGGCGTCTCATCCACTCCTTTTCAAACACCCCGATCCAGCTGGTCCTGTTTGCTCACCCTGCGGGACAAGCTTAGAAAAACAGGAAATGCCAGGACCACAATAACAGGGCGGAGGGGCCCAGAGCTGCAAATGCACTTGTTGTATGCACAGCGCTGGGCCGGCAGCACCATCCCCAGCTTGGGACCAGGAAGAGGCTGCAGCAGCCCTGCAGGACAGCACAACCAATGAGGGATGACTGTGGCGTGGCCTCTGCTGACGTCTCCAGCCTCGTTTTCCACCCATCCACCAACTTGTTTTTTTGCAGTCAAACCGTCTGCAGCTTCCCATATTCCTTATGCTGAGTCTCGCCTCTATGTCTTTGCTCATGTCTGTCTGCCTGTAATGCTCTTCACATCCGTGCTCATCTCAGAGCTTACTCATCCTTCAGGACTGTGTGCAACCATCCCCTTCTCTTAGGAAGACTCCCCTAAGCCTTTAGATTGGGCCTTACCCTTCTGCTGGCTCAATGTCCTAGCATTGCTCTAACTCATCAAATTATATTGACTTTAGACTTCCGGCCAAGATAGAGACGTAGGTAGATATGCATTGCTTCCTTGCACAACCAAAAGAAGGACAACACATTTAAAAACAAACAACTACCAGAACTGCCAGAAAATTGAACAGTATGGAAGCCCAGCAACCAAGTTGTTAACAAACATTCATCTAGACTGGTAGGAGGGACGGAGAAAGGCAACCAGGATGGAAAGGACTCGTGGCAAGGCAAGGGTGAGGCGGCGGCTGGTGGACTGGATGGTCCCACATTTTCGTGTGGATAAACTGGGAGAAAGAACTGGGGAATGAGACAGACCATGAAACCCAGCGTTCCAGTGCAGGAAAAGAAAGCCTCAAAACCTCTGGCTGTAAAAACCTATGGGGGTTGTGGTGGTGGGAGAAGTTCCCAGCCTCACTTGAGAGTTCTTTAGAGAGACCCACGGGTCCTAGAAGGTACACAAACCCACCCGGGGGGAAGTGAATGAAAGCCAGCAGAGAGCCAAGCAAGTGGTATTGTTCCTTCTCTGACCACTTCCCCCACACACAGTGCCACAACAGAGAGACGTGGGTTGCCCCGCCCTGGAAAATGCCTAAGGCTCTGCCCCTTACAACATAACAGGTGTGCCGAGACAAAGAAATATGTCCCTAATGAAAGAACAGATCAAAGCTCCAAAAACAGAACTAAGCGATGAACAGATAGCCAACGTAGCAGATGCACAGTTCAAAACACTGGTAATCAGGATGCTCACAGAAATGACTGAGTACAGATGCAAAATAGAGGAAGAAGTGAAGGCTATGCAAAGTGAAATAAAGAAAAATATACAGGGAACCGATAGTGAAGGGACGGAAACTGGAACTGAAATCAAAAATTGGGAACAGAAGGAAGAAATAAACATTCAACCAGAACAGAATGAAGGAACAAGAATTCAAAAAAATGAGGAAAAGCTTAGGAACCTCTGGGACAACTTCAAATGTTCCAACATCCAAATCACAGGGGTGCCAGAAGGAGAAGAGGAGGAGCAAGGAATTGAACACTTATTTGAAAAAATAATGAAGGAAAACTTCCCCAGCCTGGTGAAGGGAACAGACTTCCAGGAAGTCCAGGGAGCTCAGAGAGTTCCAAAGAAGTTGGACCTAAGGAGGAACATACCAAGGAACATCATAACTAAGTGACCCAAGATTCAAGATAAGGAGAGAACCTTAAAAGCAGCAAGAGAAAGGGAGAGAGTTACCTACAAAGGAGTTCCCAAAAGACTATCAGCTCATTTCTCAAAAGAAAGC